CCATAAAATCACCATTAATATCCCTATTAAATCACCATATATCATATAATATCATATAAATCATAGAATAACAAATAATTGGAGGATCATTCCGCTTAGTAACTGGTTAATAAGCCATTAAATCGCCAAGCAGCTATAGCAATTGGAAATGGGCCTCTCCCCACAGATCCCACAAATCAAATCGGTCTCCGGACCGCCTGAGGTGGAGACGGGCCTGACATGTCCGGGACATCTGGCGAACATCACTGAAAATACCGTGGTTTAATATGATTTAATATGGGTTTAGTATGGTTTAATGGGATTAAAATGGGATTATAATATGGCAGTGTTGTCAAAACCAATAGTACCCCTTTTTTGTTCACATCAAAATAGCTGGGTTAAAATGGATGTGAATAACCCCCTATTTAATGGTATTAATAGTGTTACCCATATGGATTATAATGGGAAATCTATGGGAAATCTAGATGATTGTTCGTCATCAGAGATCGGAGTTCAATCTTCCCCAAGCGAAAAACGTGCGCACAACGATCACAAACAATCTGTCACTACCACAATGTTCACATCTCTCAACTTCAACACATGGTACAAATATGTACAAATAACATAACTGGTTGGTGGTTGAGCCTACCCCTCTGAAAAATATTAGTCAATTGGGATTATTCTTCCCAATATATGGAAAACATGTTCCAAACTCCAAACCACCAGCCAGATAATAGTGGATTTGATCTGTAACATGACATAAACAAAGGGACCACCTAACTCAAACAATACGTGAAAGGTATAATAATGGGTTTACTTTGTATAAAACAATATGCAGAAAGGGTCTAAATCTGCCACCCCCTAAAACAATATCTAGAATGGTAAAATAATGGAATTACCCTGTAAATCGCCACCTGTTTGGTTTCCCAGTAACTCGCGGCAACCACCATTCACAGATTTCGTCGGGTCCGTTCAAAAAGAATGTCATTTTCTGTGACTGGCGTGAGCTCCGGGCAAACGTCCCGGTTCGGTGCGCAATCTTGAATATGTGGTTCAATTTGGATAAAAATCAGATTGCAATATAGATAATATAGATTTGAAAGTCTGGTGCAGTTTCACGGAAAAAACATGTTGAGTTATGGTGGAAAATCTGGTTTTCCATGAGATTGTGATGGGCTTTTCTGGGAATCATGACCGCCAACCAGGTGAGAATCTAAATCTTGAGATCCGTATCCAGCAAGGATATAACAGTAGCAGCAATATGACTTCATCCATTTGGGTTTGTTCAAAAAAAATACAGTATTTTCCATGAAATGTGATTTGAAAAAAGGAAACATAGCGATATGATGGGATATAGAACCAACAATGAGATATGTTACTGATATATCATATATCAAATGCCCTTTTTCGAGGATCCCAAAATGAATTTGGATTCAATCCTAAACCTTGCTTTCCAGTCTTCAACATTAGGGGCATATAAAAAACTCATGGTGGCTTCGAGCAAAAATGGGAGTAGCCCCATGGAACTTCGAGGAAACTCAAGTCTAGGAGAAATCCACTTGGAAAATTTAGAAGTCAATTGGAAAATCACCGTTTTTAATGGGTAAATTACCGTTTTTAATGGGAAAATCACCGTTTTTAATGGGTAAATCACCATGTTTAACGGGTAAATCACCATACTTGTGATCATGATACCCTCTGGTGAACTAACATTTTGCTATGGAAAATCACCATGCTATTAATGGGTAAATCAACGAACTAAATGGCCATGTTCAATAGCAAACTGTAAACATTTACCAGAGGGTAATTCTTCGGATGGAAAATAAGGTGGATGAAATCACCAATGGCCAAGAAAGGACCTGAAGTCTATCAGAGGCAATTCACTAAACACACCTGATTTGCAACATACAAGAACCCAGTACTCGATATCTAAGGCTTGCAAGGCTAGCCATGTTTAAAGTGAGTTCGCTGCGAGTCGAAATTAATTCACAAGCCCATAACTATTTTTGTTTGAATTCCGATCCAACAGGAATTTCCCTTAGCTATCAAAGCATTTCTGGCTACAACCAAGTACAATATTCATCCCTTCACAAGTAGCCTCAGGTTATTTAACCTACTACAATATGTATATATATATATATATATAGCTATGCAAGCCATGGCCCATTTATCGACGATAAAAATGATGATTTGCCATGATTTACCAATTTTTCACATGGTGATTTTCCACCCATGCAGACCCTTTCTCTCCTCACTGAACTGAAGCACGGTGTCACCATCATTGGCAGTGATCTGTTATGTTGAAACTCTAATAGATCATATAGGCATACCGGCATAGCTGGTAGATGCCAAACTTGACATGTTTTCTGATTCCAAAGAAGTGACAAGTAGATCATCAACATACTCAGAATCTGGATAACTTGATGTGTGGCGCTCGAAATGTGGCGGAGACCATCAAACAGGGAGTGGCGGAGGTCTTTCGAAGCAACGATTCAGTGACAAAATCTCCCACCGAAAGAACAGTGCAGCTTTTGGGAGGAGAGGTGGCGGCGATGGATATCACTAGCAAATATGTTGTTTGGGGCCCTGATGCTGTTCTGCTAATCCAACATAAATGTTGAAAGGCCCGTTTGTGGCTGAGAACAGCCCATTTAACATGGTAGTATTCCAAAGCATAGTGAAAGATTACCGGATGGTATAAACACAGACATCTTCCATACACGCTGGTAATCCATGTAATCAATGGTTCAATGGGAAATCAAGCTAGGAGAATCGTCTATGCGTGGCAGATCTGTTGCCAGGCTAGTTTGGGGTCGAGGGTGGGGATTGCACTGATTGCACATCCCAATTCGATAGACTCAATGAATCCTTGATATCAGTTGGAGGGTACCCTTTGATCAACTCGAGTTTTTCCTCACATCATTGCTGTCATTGCTCCATTGAATGCACTTGTGAATCATGGATTTTCCTACGCGAAAGACGATGCCGCAATCAGGCTTGCAGTTGCCCAGGTTCATGGCCTACGTCTCAGGAAAATACTGAAAAAGAATCATCCTACTTAGTGAGTAATGAGTAACATAAGCTGGGTCACGAATTGAATTCTTCATGTACTTTTCATCACAATGCCTGAAAAAGAACTACAGTCACTGTACCATCTGGTTATTTAACATAGCCATGGAAAATCACAATTTTAAATAGGTAAACCCAGGTAAACCATCTATAAACAGGCCATTTTCCATGGCTATGTTGAATAACCAGAGGGTAGGGGTTTCAAAGTGTGATACATCACAGCAACCCAACCCGGCCCCCGGCCCGATTTTTCGTTGTCAGAGCGTGGGCTCGACAAGGAGAAACGACGCGACACTATTTCGCGTCACTGCCATTGCTGCGCTTCAGCAGATATGTAGACTTTGGCAGCCTCCTCTATCCCATCTGGTTGGTGAGGAACACAATGAACACTTCACATCAATTACCCGATTAGGTACTACCTAACTTACCTAACGTGGGAATGGGAATGGAACACCCCCATTTGGAAAAAATAAACATGATTTTGCTGTTCCTATATGTTCCTATAACATCCTATAACGATTTGAGGCTTCCCATTGCCATGTCTGATTACCAAATGCTGGGACCTGGGTTTTCCGGACCTTAATCACTTAATGATCGCAGAAAACAAGACCACCAGTGGGGTTTTGGGAGTCAAAGTTGTTTTGTCTTTTCAAGACCATGACCTCGCATAGTGCTGTCGATCGTCGCAAAATGACCAGCCGCCGCTCGGGCCACATCTTGGACCTGAAGATCTCATATTTCCAAGGGATTATTGATAAGTTGTGTTTAGCGTTCTGAAGTCTGAAGTTGATCTCGAAGGAACTATGGATACACGTTTTTAGAGCTATAGATCATTACAGCACCCCAAAAATACGCGTTATCTCATGTTGTTTCTGCTTCCTGGCGACTGAGACCTCTGGTCAACATAGCCAACTGAAGGGGGTTGGAACCCAAGGTGTAAGTACAGCAATCCTCAAAAAGGTAGAAAGGTAAAACCCTACTAAACTAAACTAGTGATGAATTACTTTTTTATATACCCTCTGGTAATTTAACAGTTCGCTATTGAAAATGGCCCAGTCAAAATTGTTGATTTACCCATTAATAGCATATTAGCATGGTGATTTTCCCATCAGTTACGTCAACGTTTACCAGGCCGGGTATCTGTTCAGGGGATGACCTAATCGTCGTGTTAGATGATTTTGGATGTCATGGATATTGTCCGTGTGAAACACCCCGTTCCTGTGGATGGGGCAGCGAAATCCGCTTATCACCAGTTGAAAACGGTGGTCAACATCCCATTATTTTGGATGGGTTGAAAAACCATCCTTTTGGTGGTGCAGGATTTCGCAACCATCCACCGTAGGATTCAAATCTTTTGTTTCTAGAATTTCGATATGTTTCTACATTACCTTTCGATATTCTACATTAACCCTCTGATGATTTAACATAGTAACATAGCTATTGAACATGACCATAGAAATAGCTGATTTACCTACGTATTGCAAATGGCGATTTTCCACTTCGCAAACTGTTAGTTAGTTTACCAGAGGGTACTGTTGGCCATTGCATATAATATATAGTTCTTTAAGATTTCGATGTTGTTGCAAATGTAGAAACTGGCTGCGGCAAGGCCAAGAAGATCATTGGAAACTGGAGGTGATCCTGCAGATATAAACTGTGGTTCTGGCTGCCACCATCTGGTTCTGGTTGCTTGTTGGTTCTGCAAAGAACTAATGTGGTTTATGGTTCTAAATCTAGTGGTTTGGATCTTATGTGTTGTATTTTTGTTTATGGTTCTAGTGGTCGAAAATCCCTGGCAAAAACAAAAATGAAGAAACTTCAATCTTCTTCACCTCCAGTCTATAGCCATGTAATTAAATGGGCGCGTCCAAACATCTGACAATGATACATCTGACAATCCAAATCAACATCTATAATTAAGTAAAGAAAAAAAGGCTAAAACTCGAATGATAGGTGTATCCCCCATGTTTAGACACGCCCATATCTAAAGAAGTGAGGCGTTACCCAGCAGCCCTGACATGCCACAACAGCACTTGCCAAACGGCCGCCGTTCGTCGCCCGAAAGAGTCAAAGATGTCAGCGGACGTAGTATCCCGCAATGTGCAAAGGTCACCGTGGTATTTTTCTGTGACCTTGGCATGACTGGATGACTGGATGATGGCTTGAATGGGAAATCGATCAATGGTGGGCTTATCCCATGACTGATTCATCTATTGCTATCCCTGGCTAATCAGGAATGTGGAAAAGCCAATGAGACAATGAGAAGAACCAACCCCAAGTCATCACCATATCCATCCCAAATGGTTTAAGCTTTATGATATTGGGATATATTATGATATATTGGGTTTACATATGGGTTTACCACATTCCTGTCCAATCTTAAATATACTGGCCATATATAGGGATTCACTCAGATCTTGGTCGAAAAAAACCATGAACTACTCATCATCTACCAAGCGGGAAACACTGCAAAATCATAGACATGGAAAGGAAATAGAAAACCCAAGAAACATGAATTTCCAAATCTGTATAACCTGGGACTGGAGGGTAAATATGGGTAAATATGGGTGCTTAACGAAAGGGTGTAGCCCCTTACCATTGGCAGTAGGTTGTAGTGTTTTCACCCAGCTGCTGACCATTTAGCAACACATCGGGGACAAGACCGACCATCAAACATAGCTAAAACATAGCTGGAAAATCACCCATTTGTAGTGATGATTTTCCCATTTGTTTAAAAAAACTCTATTTTCAATGTCCAGGTTTGCTTACATACCCCCTGGTAAACGTTTACATAACGAAGTGGAACATCACCATGCTATTAAGTAATGGGAAAATCAACGATTTAAATGGACATGTTCAATAGCTTTATGTATGTTTACCAGAGGGTATCACTTGGAAAAATCCCAATCACCTTCAGCAAGTCTAGGCATTGGGGAAATTTGATGACCATTCGGGTCATTCGGGATCAAACTGCCCAACGTTGACCATTCTGTTTGTGGAATATGGAAACCAGCTTACCCGGCTTGTATATTCTTATCATTGACACTCAGCAGATCTATATACTGTAAAAGTGTGAATGTACAATCCAAACAGTTGAAAGCAGCATGGGAGGCTCTATCTCTATAGATTCTTTCCGTGAATATGTGGTGGTTTCCATAAATGGGGGTATCCCCAAATGGATGGTTTACACTGGAAAATCTTGTAAAAATTGATGATTTAGGGGTACCCCATTTCAGGAAACCTCCATCCCCTGCATTGGTCGTGTTGGCAACGTCCAATACTATACTATACATATAATACATATACATATGCCATACTATACAGTACTAAACAAAAATTTACAATACTGTACTATAATGCACTATACTATACTACTTATACTTATCCACTGGAACCCATGAACCGAAAGAATAAATTACTTTACTTCGTGTGATCCCCACCATGACATTTATACATTTTCTTACTGGCAAATCTTCTGGCATTCTATCTGACATATCTTCTGACATTCTATTTAACATTCTATCTGGCATATCTTCTGGCATATCTTCTGGCATTCTATCTGGCAAATCTTCTGGCATTCTATCTGGCATATCTTCTGGCATTCTATCTGGCAAATCTTCTGGCATTCTATCTGGCATTCTATCTGGCATATATGCTGACATTCTATTTGGCATTCTATCTGGCATATCTTCTGGCATATCTTCTGGCATTCTATCTGGCAAATCTTCTGGCAAATCTTCTGGCATATCTTCTGGCATTCTATCTGGCAAATCTTCTGGCAAATCTTCTGGCATTCTATCTGGCATATCTCATGGCATTTTATCTGGCATATCTTCTGACATTCTATCTGGCATATCTTCTGACATTATTTCTGGCATATCTTCTGACATTCTGTCTGGCATATCTTCTGACATTCTTTCTGACATTCTTTCTGGCATTCTATCTGGCATATCTTCTGACATTCTATCTGACATCTTTTCTGACATTCTTCCCGTTGAGGTCCGGCAGTGCCCACTGCGATCTGGAAGTCGCGGTTGAGGCCCGGCAGTGCCCACTGCGATCTGGAAGTCGCGGTTGAGGTCCGGCAGTGCCCACTGGGATCTGGAGCTCGCGGTTGAGGTCCGGCAGTGCCCACCGGGATCTGGAGCTCGCGGTTGAGGTCCGGCAGTGCCCACTGCGACCTGGAAGTCGCGGTTGAGGTCCGGCAGTGCCCACTGCGATCTGCAACTCGCGGTTGAGGTCCGGCAGTGCCCACTCGGATCTGGAGCTCGCGGTGGAGGTCCGGCTGTGCCCACTGGGATCTGGACTGCGAGGAGGAGGCGGCGGGTGAGGAGGCGGAGGAGGCGGAGGTGGAGGCGGAGGAGGCGGAGGCGGAGGAGGAGGAGGAGGAGAACAGCTCTGATAAAATCTAACAACCCTCACCTGGCAGGTGGGGAAAAAAACATTTTTTGTCTCCTCGGGGTTCTTGCTTGGATGTGCATGCCATTTGCATTCCTTTTATATCGGTAAGAATAATCGTGACATTGCTTAATTAAGCCCGATTAGTTTTATTTTGTCTAGCCAGTTATTAGTCTCATTTAGTCTGAAAACGTTTAAAATCATGCATGTGGCTCAAGATCATTGATTAACCTACAAAGTTGGGGGATCCATCATTTGGTCATGTTGATTAGCTAAAACACACCATTTCTATTGCCTAAAGCCCGCGAAAAAATGCCACGAATTTACCGCAGAGCCCAGCCTGCTGGTGGGAAAAAACGCGGTCCCAGGTCTTACTGGGCCTGCTGCGGAGAAAATGTTGGCCGCAGGTGACAATTGATCCAGTAGAATCGCTCAAACAATATTAGCTTTATACAAAAACTGGATTGACACATCTTTGTCAATCACTGGTTGGTGGTGCAATGTGCCCATCTTGAAAAATATGAGTTCGTCAATGAGAAGGATGACATCCCATATATATATATTATGGAAAATAATCTAAAATTCATGTTTGAAACCACCAAGCAGTATTGGATTATTATAATCACCATTAAATCACCATTAAGTCACCATTAAATCACCATTAAATCACCATTAATTCGCCATTAAATCACCATTAAATCACCATTAAATCACAACCATTATTATGATCCCCAAGAAAAACAAAGGATAGTAAAAACCATCCCCGAACTAATCATCAACTGGGCTTGGAACACTGCGACGGGACAAAATTTCAGACCCGAAGAGATGGTTCTCCTCTCTGGCTTTAAACATTTGAGTGAACGAACGACCACAAAGGGAAAGGTGCAATGCCCTGAATATGAAGGAATTAACATGAATTAACAAAGGGAATGGTCTGAATATGAATATTGTTGCGTGTTTTATGCCCTCTGGTCATTTAACATGGCGAAAATGGACCATTTACAGATGATTTTCCCAGCTAGAAACCTCCTTTTTTAGGGATTTTCCATGGCTATCTTAAATAACCAGATGGTAGTTAGTTATATAATAGTCATGCACCATATAGATACCCCGGAATCCAGAAAAATTGGATGCAATAATGAACCACTAGTGAGCATAAAGCAACTTCTTAAACGGAGTGAAATTCAATGGTAGAATGACAGCAAAATTACGAGGATATAGGGATCATCCTAAACACAAATAGTGGTTCAGCAGGTTCCCAAGGTTGTCAATGCATCCAGATTGGTTTAAGGGTTTATACCGAAACATAGGGTGAACGTTTCAACACTGTGAAATTGATATACATACATGATATACCCTCCTGCAATTTCACATAGCAATGGAAACCATGGCCCAGTGATAAATCATTTGCTGTATCAAAGATATTTGAAGATACCATATGTGAAATTACCCGAGGGTAACCTGCAAAACAAGAATGTAAACCAATGGAGATACAGATCATCATTCCAGCTGGAAACTGTGAAATATCTGATCACCAGTGACACCAGCCAGACTTTTGCAGCTGGATGTGCATCCCAGTTAGGATGCGTGGTTTATTACCTCCAACTGGTGCATAATATGGTATAATCATATGGTTATATATCTACTTATAAATGGAAGTGCACTTCCAAGTATGTCGTGAGTGATTCCCTTTGCGATATTGATTTTTTGCAATCCATGGGTAGCCTTAGCTACCCCGCAAAATTAGTTCTTTAACAGAGACGACGTGCAATACTTTTTGGATGGGTTCTCCCCATTTAACCATCAATCATATATACACATTTTCTGGTTGGTGGTTTTAACCCCTCTGAAAAATATTAGTCAATGGGAAGGATGACATCCCATATATGAAATGGAAAATAAAACATGTTTGAAACCACCAACCAATTTTGAGATGTTTGCGGAATCAAACATTATGTTTCTTTGTTGCTTTGCAGCCCATATGAATCCAGTATCTCACCATTCTAGTAAAATCCCAAGTGTCGTCAAATCCACATTTGACAGCTGGTCAAATTCACAGATTCCAAGTACATATTACTGGTTAAAAGAAAGGTTCACGATTTTTAAACGCTGGTAGACCAGCCAAATTATAAAAATCTGAAAATATGTCCAATGTCTGTGTGTTTATTCCATGTGACCATGTGTTTCCACTCTTTGTTGCTAGTTAAATCCCGTTTTTTTCTGGTTAAAGTCACCACTTTTGCCCCCTGCCCCGACATGGAAAAAACAGAACGGCCTTTTTCGCCTCGCGTTCGATTGGCACCAGCCTGGCAGTGCCATTGGAGATATGGAGGTTTCCATCAATGAGGGTACCCCCAAATAGATAGTTTATATATGGGATGTCATCCTTCCCATTGACGAACTCATATGTTTCAGAGGGGTAGGTATACCACCAAGCAGAATGGGATGATATGGGATGTCTGATACCCTCTGGTAAACTAACATAATTATGGAAAATCACCATGCTATTAATGGGAAAATCAACTATAAATGGCCATGTTCAATAGCTATGTTAAATTACCAGAGGGTATTTCATGGAAAATCCGAAAATGAAATGGATGAGAACTGGGGGTACCCCTATCTTAAGAAACCTCCATTTCAATGTTTTGTTTTTGTTGTTGCGAAAATCTGGACACGGGTTTCACCATTGTTTTTAGCATCAAATATATCATCAATTTCTATGATATGTATTTGAAAATTGTATGATACATATACCATACTATCATTATCATTATTTAGATTGAAATACACTGCTATAATAACCTGAAAGGATAATCCCAATAACAATCATTGTGACTGTGATGGTGATGATTAGTTAGTAGTCTTATTATCATTGTATGTATGATGATTTCATGTCATGATGTCATTATGATAATGATAATGGCACCACTTATAATGATAGTGAATCCAGTAAGAATGATGACGATGATGATGATGATGGTGGTGGTGGTGGTGGTAATATCTAGCAATGACTTCCCAATTAAATCCCAATACAATCCTTACAAGGTGGGCCCCCAGGGCACCAGTTTGTTCGCGATTTCTGTTTTTTTTACAAAGCACCAGTCTCACAAGCGGGTAAGAATAGCAATTCATATCCAAGCTATACATATATATGTATACCAACAAACATAACTAGGGGGCGCCACCTTGTAGTAAGGCTTATGATGCAATGACAATATGAATCTCTGGTATTTTTTCTGCGTCTTCACCGATTGTTTCTGGAGATCACAGGACAAATGATCAAACATCCCATATCATCCCATGGTGGTATACCTACCCCTCTGAAAATGTGAAAGTCAGTTGGGGTTACTATTCCCAATATATGGAAAAATAAAATTCGTGTTCCCAACCACCAACCAGTCCCATATCATCCGATTTATGATGATACTATGACCAAACATCTGTCAATCTAGTGATTATGAATGATACTTGTCAGAGAAAATGACAATGAACTAGTGGAATTTGTATGAATGCCCAGGAATAAAAGACCCCTTATCATATTCATATTATATTTGATATATATATATACAAATATGAATATATATATATATAAATGAATATATATATATATATGTATACATATATACATATATATACAGAGACATATATATATATAGAGACATATATATATGTATATGTATATATATATGTATATGTGTATATATATATATATGTATATGCATGTATATATATATATATGATTATATGTATATGTACACATTGTGATGGACAATAAATAGCTATCCGAAAACCACGAAACAACTTAACTTGGAAGACCAGCATTATTGGTAGTGAGCACTATTCAAGCCCTGTTCCAAATGATATCGTTGGAAAAAATAACACATATAAAGCGACGTGAGGTCTTGATCAAATAACCAATGATTGAGCTGATATTATGATATGACACTAATGCGGTCATGCATATAATGTACCTGTCTGGCACTAACAAAAATAGGGAACAAATGATATGTATATATATATATGTATGTCGTACATATACATATATATATACATATATATATATGTCGTACATATATTGATATATAAGGGAACCAAGGGTCATTTGATAGGAATAAATATCATCGGAATATCGCCTTGGGATTCGGTGGGAATTTCATGGTTGGATGGGATGACCAAATGGTGATGAACAGGGATGGATATGAACTGCTTTCTGGGATATATGCATATATAACTCCTGAACACCATAGGCAAACTTTAGATGAACATGTTTGCATATAGAACTTTGAAATATTCGGAAACATGAATCAGCAATCTGTTGAATGATCAGGAAACAGCATTTAATATATGAATATTCATGACAGAAAAATCCAACAGGGACAAAACAACGGCCCGGCTTTGTCAAAACACCCTTGAGGAAACACTGGGGGTTCATCACTTGAATCATGCAAAGGAGGCTCCTGAATGGGGGGTACCCCGAAATAATGGCTTTCAATACGAGTTGTCACGGGGATATCATGACGGCTGGATATGTTGGGGTCCATGACAAAACGGAAACTCCCATGACTTAGGACTATTGTGGATGACTATCGACTATGGGATCATATGGGATTATGGATATGACTCAAAACTTTATGGATACACCATGATGATTCATAGCTCATTAAACCATTAAACCAAATGTCATCCATAATTATTCATAACCACCATATAGATGGTCTTTCATTGAAAACCATTAACATCCATTAACATCCATTAACATTCCATTTCCATTCCCTTAACAGTCCATTAACATTCCATTTTCATTCACATTCCATCGATATTCCCTTCATTCCCCCAGGGTCACCCTGAAGCTCATGATTGTGACCATAGAAATAGTGATTTCTACCATACAGAATTGCTTTGGAACCATTGTTGTAGCCGCCATTCCATACTTATGTAACAGTTTACCAGAGGGTAACATCCATTAACATCAATTAACATCCATTAACATCCATAGAATCCCCATTAAAATCTCAATAAATTGCTGGGTGAAATCTCAATCTATGATTAAACGTCCTTCAACTATTGAAAATGGCCCAGTCGAAATAGCGGATTTTCCCATTGAAAATGGTGATTTTCCATAGTTTTTTGTATGTTTACCAGAGGGTAACATCCGCATTTTCCCCATGACTTCCACCGCGCCAGGACTTGAGCTTGGCTTCGATCTCCTGCAAAGTGGGCTTGGTGTCCTCCGCAACGGCGCCGTGGTTACGAATGGGATGTCACATATGTGCATATATAACATATATATATATATAGTATTATATAGTATGTATATATATATATTCTGTATATCTATATATATATTCTGTATATATATATGTATATATAAACATATGAATGTATATATTGGCATATAAATAGGCACATAACGGGATAGTCATAGTCATGGGGATACGATGGGTTGGGGATTGGGGATTCACCAGACTTAGATGGCATGTTTTTCAGGCACTGGAGATTTTTCAGCCGCCAGATTTTGGGAAAACTTTTCTTGCGCAAAACTGGAACATCCGTTCTGAGTTGTGTTCTTGATTGTCAAGGTATAGTAGTTAGGTATAGTGCCCAACAAAAAATTGAGTGTTCTTGCGTAGTTTTGGATTGTCGAGGTATAGTGCCCAACCAAAGATTGTAAGTTGAAGTAAATCACCATAGTAAGGTCCCTTTCAATGGACTGGTTGAAGGCAACATCTTAAGCGGAAACCATAGATTTTCCCATGAAATATGGTGCTTTCTGGTTAAAATTGTCCCACAAAAAACCCATCCATTAACCCTTCGTTTTCCATCTGTTCTAGTACCCACTGCAGGAATCTCAGGGGCAGAAACCTCGGGGCCCAGGTGAACGTAGTAGCGAGCCAGCTTATCCAGCCTGCGGCGATGGAAAGCGAGTCACCAGAAAGTGCTTGGATCGTCCTACTTGGGAACTGGGTGTAATTCCCATAGCCAAAGAAAGTAACACAGATTAAAACCAGCACCACATCTATATACATATATATATATATGTACAATATACAAATGTAATCAAACATATATATATATATATATCATGTATATATATAATATATACATATACATAATATATATGTATATACATATATAATTATATCTATATCATTAATATACTAATATAATCTAAATATATATATATATAGGATAACCCTACGAATCTGGGCCAAAAAAAGCGATTCCTGGGATGATCCTCCAACGAAAAAAGGTGCTGGAGTCCGGAGGTTTTTGGCTACCAACCAACCGTCAAAAAAGCCTTGATGTAGACATACCAACCAAATGACATTATACCATATATATATAGTATAGTATTATACATCATTATACCTTATATCATCAGCCAAATGTGTATATGTATATATATAGTATAGTAATATAGTATTGTACATCATTATAAATTATACCATATGGTCATAGGGAAATGATGATTCATATGGTGAATTTATGTGAATTTAATAGGGAAATATGGTAAAATGTAATAGGGAAATGATGGTTATGACTAACAGTTCGCCATGGAAGCCATGGCCCATAGAAATAGATGGTTTACCTATTTATAGATGGTGATTCTAACATTACTGGTTGGTGGTATACCTACCCCTCTGAAAAATATGAGTTCGTCAGTTGGGATGATGAAATTCCCAATATATGGAAACATAAAAAATGTTCCAAACCACCAACCAGTATAATGTATTATGTATGTATATATATATATAGTATAGTTATAATATATATATATATTAATATATATTATATATATATGACTCCCCTCTGGTAATGACTAACGGTTTGCTATTGGAAATGGCCATAGCTAGTTCGTTGATTTACCTATTAGAAACGGTGATTTTCCATAGCTATGGATCCCCAGAGTCACCATGGCTTTCCCATCTGAGGGGCAGCACTGTTTGGTCATGGTGTACACTCCCACCTGGCGACACGTCAGGTGACCTATTGTGACCTATACCTATAAGGTAACTGGAAGGAGAGGGATGCATGATGCGGAACCTAGAAAATCATATCATATCACAGTTACCTGGATTAGAATTAGATGAAGTAAGTGCCTGTGTTGATCTGCGTTGCATGAAGAATAATTAATCTAAATTTCAGTTGCCAAACACCCACGCAACATGGGTAATTAATTTCATCTCACTAAAATACAATATGGGACCAGGGATGACGAGGGCGTACAATCATCCAATGATCCGAGTATACCTTTGTAGAATAACCCAAGTCCCTCCAACACCCCATATAAAAGGGGTATGCTCTGCGGCCTGTTAGATTTCTTGGAAATTAAACAAATCTTCCTAGTCATGGCAACACCTAGCCATCCTGCACCACATTCCGATCTTTTCATTAAGGCCGTGACAAAGGTCGATCTGTTACATCGTATTGAATTGCAAAAAAATACAGCGAAGCTTGAATAGAAAAGGAATCAAATATCGGCACAAACACCAGCCACATAATGCCACAGACCACATACAAAAACACTTGCAGCCCTAGAGAGCTATCATTGTGATCTGGATATTTCTGGATGGATCTTATCGCTCTTACAGATTCACTTTGAAGGCAACTAACAGTTGACCTTAAATATTCAAAAAAAACAACTCCAACAAGCCAAAAAACTTCAAACACAAAACTTCAACCAAGTTACGCCATCCATTTCTAGATTTTTCCGGAGCGAAAGTGACGCCATGGCTATTGGCTTCTCCGCCTTTAAAGACCCACCGCTGGGGGGCCACCGCTTCTCCGCCTCGAAGAAGTCCAAGCCTCGAAAGGTCACGGCGCCGCCAGCAATGTGCTTGTCCTGTCGGAAGCAACAAAAGATGTCGAAAAAGTTGGTGAAAGTCACTCCCTATTTCACTATGGTTTATGAGAAATGATACGTGTAACTTGCAATACTTATAATTAACTACTTAATTATTTCACTATGAAGCGATGAGAAATGATGAGAAATGATGAGAAATAATACTTATAACTACTCATAACTATTACTATTCATGGGGTGTAGAAACCAACAAACATAACATTGGGCCATTGGGGGCTCCACATTGGAAAGGAAAAAGGTTGGTCCATGTTCTCCCTAAAGTTCGATGCCATGGTCGTTCAACATGTCCAAACATGGGATAGACCTGGGTTATGTTCTGTTATGCTCATCCGATCATCCATCCCACACGTAGCGAATCACCAAGTTATCTACCAGCGATTGCATTACATATTTGTAACGTATTGTAACGTCTTCTTGGGCCTGACTTGTCGCTGGTGAATCCTCAGGGCTTTTTCGATGACTCATCCGTGAACCGGCTAGTATATGAATCGAACCGGTTTCCACCTTTTTGTTGCCTTCCAAAGCGAAATCCCCCATGGGTTCCCACACGTTTCCACGTTTCAGCTCCTGATTCTCGATGAAATATTTTGGCAACTCCGACCAATGGAGACGCGCCTGGCTGGCTGATTCGTCGGCACCACAGTGTACCCTCCTGTAAACATACAAAAAGAAATGTGGACAACTTATCATGTGTAGACTCTGTAGACCATTTTGCGTGCGGAAAACAATTGTCTTTTTTTCACATCTATGTTAGAAACTCACCCACAAATCATACTACAAATCCTAAATTTGTAATCCATTTACTATAACCATTTAGTAATGTGAAAATTGCTTGGATTAGCGGATTTTTATGGGGAGTCACAGAAAATAACCAGACCAAGAAACCACTTCCTGCTGGATTTGCCGGGATTTTCCAACAAACCAACTCAGCGACTTGTTCCCCTGCAGGTGGATTGTTAAAGCCATTGTATTATCCCATTATGCTTTTATACTGGTTGATTATTAGATATCATAGAAATTCATAAGATATCATATCCCAAACTCTTGTGATATCTGGAAAAATAACTGATTATAATCATATCCCAAACTATTGTGATATCTGGAAAAATAACTGATTCTAGTAATTAAATGAGTAGCAAAGTTCCTAGAATATCTGGTTTTAAAATGCTGAGTTCATTGCACCCAAACTTCCCTCAGATTCAGCCGTTAACTCTTCTCTGCTGATCGGCCAAGTCGTCCCACCAAAGTCCCATTAATGGGGGATGGGTCAAAATTGATGCCCCAAAAAGGATCAGATTTGAGTGTGTATATATATATATATATGTTTAATATTAACCAGTAATTCTTGAGGTACCCAATTTTGACCCATACCCATATATGATATATCATATATGTCTATAACTGCGATGAACGAAAAAGCTTACCAAGCAGCTACTTCAATTCGTAGGATGATCCTCCGGGTGAAACACCCGAAACTCATTGGATTTAAATCTGTGCTTTCTCATATTTTCTCATTTTGAAAGGGTTTTCCCCAAAGATTTTTCGGATTTTCATGGATTTTCCCACTTCTTCCGTTCCAGAAATCACCAACCGACCCACTCCCCGGGGTACGTTGGTGTGGTGGATGGCATGATAGCCATCGTTGAAGGAGCGCTTGTTCGCAGCGTTGTCCTGGCAGGACCAGGAGGCAGTTGTATACATTGGATAGGCAAATCGGCATTTATCTATATACACAGAAAACAAAAAAAACAGCAATCATGATAACATTTATAAAATGTAGTAAAATTGTGTGTATATATAATTATATAACTATATATATATAATATTAATATTATAATATTATATATATAGACATTCACATTGTGTTATCCATGTAGATCATTATATATGAACACATAACAAAGTTTAGACTACATTTGTTTAACGCTGCTTGGATGGGCACATGGCCCCGTCAATGGTTCAACCATCCAGATGCGGAATTTTGATCAAGAAATATGACATAAAAAATGGCTTGGTTATTGCAGGAACATCCAGGAACCATTGATCTACCATCCAAATATACAGTAGTCAAATATGTGGTGTTCCATTGGTTTCCCTGCATTTTTCTCGAAAACTGGGAGTTTCAACAGAAACTGCGTTGATATCTCCAACCCCGTGCGACGTTAAGGCTGCGGCAATGCAGTTGTAGGTCAAGCCGAAGTTGCTCATGGAATCCTGGGCAAAGAATGGAGCTGCTTGACGGATATTGATATACCAAATAGGTATTTAATCAATATCCGTCAATATTTGGTATATCATATATCAATATCGATAGTATATGATTGAAATACCAATATTCATATGCTTGACGGATATTGAAACTTGGTTTGTCTTAAAAGTGGGCATATCCAAATGGATTTCGCAATATAGAAACATATATGTTGTTGTTTCGGAGAAAAGGTTGGTTTGTCTTAAAAGTGCTGAGTACCCAAATGCTTTTCAAAAATGGAAAAGGATATGATACAGCAGGAACTTGTGGGTTACCCTATTTTGAGACGAACTCGCATGTGTTGGGAATCCCACAGTAGTTGCTGCGTACGATAGTTATTCAAGGTAACCAACCACCAATGTTCTTCGAATTCCGCCAGAAATGTGCGGATTCATCGAGGACAAAGGCAGTACCCCTGGTGCAGCCCATCATGTCATGGATCTTTCCCGCGAACATCTCCATGTTGATTCGTTGATGTTAACTTTGCTTCCGAAGCCCAATTATAATTCTTGTTGCCCAATAATCCATATACTTTGTCATATTCATATATTAATCAAATTATTAATCCAACAATTCATACTTTGTATATTCATATATTATCATATATTAATCCAACATAATCCAACGATCCATCTTTTTGCTTGCCCAACAATCCAGAAATGGGGATACACTCTATGTTCCGAACAGCCCCGGCGATGCGCCACCTGGGGGTTGACGAAGATGTGCTGAGACCAGTTGCCAAAGGCCAAGCCTGTCATCCCGACGACCTGCGGGAAGATGTGGTTTTCGCCACTGATTGGTTAATATATAAATGGGGAAAATGAATCTAGATTATATCAATATCTATATTACATCAATATCTATATTATATATCAGTAGTCATATTTTATCTATATTATATTAAAATAGAGGGAACATATCTGTATTAATATCTATATTGTAGTCATCCCCAAATAGATCGAAAAGTAAATCCCTACTCATTCGATGGTGATTTACTTTTCCATCTATTTGGGGATGACTATAATCATATAAGGACTAGCAGTGGAATATTTCTGTAGGTTAATATAGGATAACAATATATAATATTATTGGGGAACAGGTCACTCATATTATATGGGATGAATAAAGGGATTGTCAATATACCGTGTGTCAATTATATTGTTAGAACACATTAGGTGATTTCCCCCAATACATATTATAACATATGATAACTCATGATAACATATGATAACATATGATATCATATAACCATAACATGTGATATAAAGCCTGGTATCATGTTAATGGGGAAAATAAAGGAAAATATCTATATCATTATATTATCAGAAAACCATATGGTATGTTATCTGATTGATATGGTATCATCTAACTGGATATATAGATGGTTATGGGTCAAAACCCAACGGTACCCGGATGGTACCCTAAGTCATAGCTGGTGAATGGATTGTTGTCCGGCCCAAATATGGTAAATTCATAGGTTTTGACCCACAGCCATATGAGCAGTGTTCAAAATCCCTCTATCATTCAACTATACTGGTTGGTTTATAAGGATTTCCCTATTGGATTATTAGAATCCCCAATGACTATTGGGTAGTATAATCCCCGAACCAATCATCATCAACCATCATTTATCAGTTATATATAGTTATATCCACTTGAATTTCCCTAGATTTTGATGGTTAAAACATGTTAAAACCATATGAAATGACTGGTTGATCATCACCCTGGCCCAGGGCTTTAGCAGCCACTGCTCAGACTGCGATGATCATCCAATGGAATGAACGGTGAATCCATGGAACACACAGTCACCATCCATTGTGGATCATTATCTGCTTGGTTTTTTTTGGGATTCCCGGATTCCCCCCGTTCTTATGGATTCATCACCTTTTTTTCATTGATAATGTACAATCCCCTATTCCAACTGGTAAATTCGGGAAAAATCTTTAGGCCATAAAGAATGATGGTTACTGTATGTTCCATGGCAAAAAAACTCAAGGGTGAAACTTGATGAAACTATCCAAGGCTGGGGATGCCATCATATCATCGCTAAAAAAAGGCCCCTGAAATGGTCATTTCAGTAGCATGTCACTAGATTCTTGGAAAACACCCAAAAAGGTATGCTCCGATGCTTCGGTCATCCCACAAAATGGAGAGTCAAGTTGCATGGCAGTGAATGTGATAGGATTGTAACCAACAATAATCGGATTGAAATTTCAAGGGACCTGAATTGGAGGTACTGAAGATATATAAATGCAATCAATCTAAGGCCTACTTAGACGGGCCATGGTGTTTGTCACCCAGGGGGAGCTCCTGAGATGAGCCGAAGCTACCCAGCCCAAGGGTGTAGTTTGGTTGTTCGTTCAGAGTATTGCTTTACTATAATGACATAATGAATAACAACGGAATAATAGGCGCGAAATAAGAACCACATTGACTTTTAGTTTCCATGATGAAACAAACCGCATTGCACTCGAAAATCCCTGAGATCAGCCATCACAAAGTGATAATCTCAATCCTCACTGTGGTCCAAGATGGTGCATTCGAATGCAAGGTATTGAGCAAGGCATTGAGCAAGTTAACTTGTGCACGTGCATAAGTCATGCGTTCCTGGATTCTTAGTGATTCTTTTCATAAAAGCAAGAACAGCAAGGCAAGAACATCCACACTAGCTATATGGGATATATTGTTGTACAGAATGATCCGTTGATTCGTTTTTTCCGTGTCATGAGCTAAGCCTTTTTCATCCCTTTTCGACTTGGTGCTGTCGGTTATCATGTTGCCAAGATGGCCATAAGGGGGGACCCTTTCAGAGACACCCAGATCTCAAGTTGGACTACGTTCTTCCCCATGAAATGTCTCCATGAAACAAAAAACATTCTTATGATCGTCCCAATATATCCAACCTGTAGAACTTGGACAATACATATCCCAATATAAGCTCATTTTATGATGTCCACCTATGATAGTCCCAATATGATGTTCCAAATATCGTTCATTTTAGTAGGATGTTCCCTTATAAACCAATCATTTTGGGGTACCCCCATGACTATGGAAACCCCCATATCCCAGTATATAAACTCATTCTTTCTCAACCTGACCCAAAGTTGCCGGTCCCTTCAGTTGCCGCACGTATGGCAACATGAAGATGTAAAAGGTGGCCTTGGCAACTTGGTCGCAGCAGTCGCAGTGGCTCATGCCCATAGCAGGTAGGCAAGATACCATACGATGGATATACAGTATATATATATATATATATGTGATGTAAATTCACCATGTTAGATATGTAGAAATTCACTATCTATGAACATGATTATAATTATTGTAAATTTATACACACATTCGGGATTTGACCAACTAGATAATGGTATAATGTTGGATAAGATATGTATATATGTAATAAACAATAATAAATAACATGATTGCTTATGAGATATGCGTATCTACATATCTATAAGCAACACATATATCATACACATTAAGGTAATACTGTAACCAGTAATTGTTGGTATAATGGTTGGGATTTGACCAACTATACTGGGAATATCTGGAAGTTTCGGAAAATTTTGGGGATCCCCAAGTCACCATGGTTGTTTCGATCTAAAATGGTCCACCTTTGGATGATTTACTGTACCCCAATTTCAGGAAACCTTCATCCAAACGATATGGAAATCCCATACAGGATGGGGCCCCGTTCGATAGCGTTCAGTTGCCTTATGTTTGTGGCTGAATAAACTATGCTTTATGGTAGATATAACGAACTAGATCGAACTAGTGAATGGGGTTTATAAGGGTTTATAAACCAACAAAATCAAACCCATTGACTATAGTTATATCTACCATTCACCATAACTTTTCCATTATCAACGAAATTTAATGGTTGTATAAACCAACAATAGTTTAATGGCGGGCCCCATCCCATAGCTTTTCCATTTGCGTTTTCCAAAGAACCGACAATATAAATCACAAGAACAAAAAGCTTAATAATATAGTCACATTAATATGAAAATTATATACAAGTATGGTGATGTTAAATCTATTTTTTTGTTCATATGTATTTATATACCCTCTGGTAAGCCACAAAGCTATTGAACATGACCATAGAAATAGTGGATTTACCCATTGAAAATTAGGTGATTTTCCATAGCTATGTAAACTTTTACCAGAGGGTACCCTCTGGTAATTTAACATAGCTATTGAAAATCACCATTTTTAATGGGTAAATCAACTATAAATGGCCATGTTTAATAGCTATGTAAACGTTTACCAGAGGGTAAATATGAAGAATGACAATCGACATCACTATTTCTGGATTGGATTTCGCATCTTATAATGGCATCTCCGTGACGTGTGCCAAGTGTGCCAAGGCGCAGTGAAGTTCACGTACCTTTTTGGTCGAATCGACGTGAACATAAGACCCAACAGGCTTGTGGCTCAACACTTATGGGATGAAATATGATGAAATAACTCCTGCAACTGGTTGGTTATATCACGGAAAAATGGGGTCATTAAACCACTTCAAGATTGTGAAGGGAGATCAACTGTGATTGCAAACCATCCATGGTTATCCATTCTTCGGATACAACATTCGTACTTCATCATCCCCTTTCACCATATTTATAGCAATATACTCTCTGGGAAACTAAGATAACTATGGACATTCACCATATTTAATGGGTAAATCCACTATTTCGTCTGGGCCATTTTCCAGTTCGCAAACTCTGAAAATCATTAATTACCAGAGGGTATCACCCCATCAGTGCCCAGCAACTTGACCATCATAGGACCTTGGAAGTATCCCTTGGTTCTACTGATTCCTCGTTGAAATCCCCGATTTCTTGCGGCGAAGTCCCATTTTTTTCATTGGTTGATTCGTGTGTTTTAAGTCCCACACCTTGGTTGATATGTTTTACGATGTTTTAGGTTTCTATCCTTTCCTATATATGATATATATATATATATGCGGAGACAGACAGAGAGAGAGAGAGAGAGACATACATACATACATACATACATACATACATACATACATACATACATACATACATACCATTAACATACATACTACATACATACATACATACATACATACATACATACATACATACATACATACATACATACATACATACATACATACATACATACATACATACATACATATAATTATATATATACAGACATATATTACATATAATATATATATATATACATCTCAAAGTGACATATGAAGAACTCACCACGTCTTCCGCGCACAGCTCTTTTTCAACCACCTACCAAAGTTCAGTCTGTTTCACCTGCTCTCCTCAGGTTTGCTTTGGATGTGTCACAATGTGACTCGCACATAGCCCCAGACCGAATCACCTCTGGTCAGCAACCTGGTCACCCCAGGTTGGGACCTGCCTTTGCAGGTATCACCCGTCCCTTAACCTAAGGGAGGGAAGTTTCTTTTGGTCGCCCCAAAAGAGTATCCCCGAAAGAGGCTATGTACTCGCCTGCCATGCAGGCTCCCCTAACCTAGGCGGACATCTCCACGGGATGTCGGCTCTTAGGGTTGGGAGGGTGGGGAAAGAAACAGCAATGAATGCTATTTTGGCTCAGCTCCACTTGAGCCAAAATGAAAGCATTCATTGACTCACTTAAAGATGACACATGCACACCCAAGCCTGCCAAACTCAATGCATGAATACATCTCAAAGTGACATATGAAGAACTCACCACGTCTTCCGCGCACAGCTCTTTTTCAACCACCTACCAAAGTTCAGTCTGTTTCACCTGCTCTCCTCAGGTTTGCTTTGGATGTGTCACAATGTGACTCGCACATAGCCCCAGACCGAATCACCTCTGGTCAGCAACCTGGTCACCCCAGGTTGGGACCTGCCTTTGCAGGTATCACCCAACGCACTCAAACACCCAAAGCACTAGAGGAGTTCAAAGGTGAGAATGACTGCAACGAATGGCAACTGGAAAAAGATTGTGGGGAGGTACGACGAATGAAAGCTAGATCCATGGCAGCGCCACCAAGTCGTCGGCCCAGTTGCTCTTGCTCTGGACGTACTCCCAGTAGCCCTGGGCACGCAGTGCGAAGAGGGCCAAAGGAATCAGATGGCCTAGCTTTGCTAGGTCCGAATTGCTAGAACGTCCCCTCACTAAGGTCATGACTGCAGCCACAGCGTCGAGGAACCATAGACCGTGTCGATGGCGGAGAAGGCCAGGGCTCTCACTCAAGGTGTAAATTACCATGGAGAGCTCCAACTGCGCAATGTGGGTCTCTGCAGGCTGCCACAGGAATTGTAGTTTTCGCAATTGGTAGCAACAAAACTGTAAATTCACGTTTTGGCTCGAAACGCATCACTGCTTCGATCACCTCGAAGCATTCTTCAATCTCTGAAGTCAAGCTGGTGACACTCTCGTCCTGGCAAGCCTTCACTGCCATAAGGTCACCATAGCCAACTCGCCCATAGATGCCCTGCTCCTCAAGTTTCCCGAAGTAAGAGCACCCGTACTTGGAGGCTGAAATTCGCTTAAAAGTTCGAGCCAGATTCATGGCAAGTGGAACGCACCACCACGTAGGATCGCCCCCACGTGGGCCCCAAACCTATGTCACAAAAGCAAGTAAGGCCACATCAAGTAGGATTGCCTCCGGCTTGAAACCCAACCTGCTTACGACAGCAGAGGCCTACAGCCTTGTGGCCACTGCCTGGCAATGATCATGGGCAACCTGTGAACCTCAAGTAGCGTTACCTCTACTTGGAACCTGGCTTGCTGGGGCAGGCAAAACTAACAGCCTCCAGTTCTGCTGAAAACGCAAACACGGGTGCCAGCAAGTAGGAGGACCCCCACTTGGACTCCAAACCTGAATCACTAAGGCAATAAGGCCACACCAAGCAGGATCATCTCCTCCTTGAAACCCAACCAGCTTAAGCCCACAGCCCTGTGGGCACTGCCTGGCAATGCCCATGGGCAACCTGTGAACCTCAAGTAGCGTTACCTCTACTTGGAAACCTGGCTTGCTGGGGCAGTCAAAACCAACAGCCTCCAGCTCTACTGAGAACGTAAAAAAAAGAAGAAAAAAAAACGGGTGCCAACGAGTAGGACCCTCACTTGGACCCCAAACCTACGTCACTGAAGCCAAGCAGAATATTTCCTGCTTGAAACCCAAACGGCTTGAGACAGCAGAGGCCCATATCTGTGAGCGCACTGCCGACACCCAGCTTGCTTGGGGGAGTCAAAACCAACAGCAGCCCACGCTGCTGAGATTGCAAAATCCAAGTTTCCAGAAGTAGGATCACCCCTACTTGGAAACTGAAATTCGCTGAAAATTCGAGCCATATTCATGGCAATTGCTAGGCACCCTCAGGTAGGATCACCCCCACTTGGATGCCGAACTTATGTCGCTAAAGCAAGTAAGGCTACACTAAGTAGGATTACCTCCTGCTTGAAACCCAACCAGCTTGAGACAGCAGAGGCTTACAGCCCTGTGGTCACTGAAGTAGCGTTACCTCTACTTGGAAACCCAGCTTGCCCGGGAAAAGTCAAAAACCAACAGCCTCCAGTTTACTGAATGCTCAGAACCTCAGGTGTCCCGAAGTAGGAGCACCCGTATTTGGGAGCTGAAATTCGCTAAAAATTTCGAGCCAGGCTCCTGGCGGGTGTTGGGTACCACCACGTAGGATTGACCCCACTCGGATCCCAAACCTATGTCACAAAAGCAAGTAGGGCTACATCAAGCAGGAGTGCCTCCTGCTTGTAACCCAACCTGCTTAAGACAGCAGAGGCCCACAGCCCTGTGGTCACTGCCTGGCAATGCCCATGGGCCACCTGTGATCCTCAAGTAGCGCTACCTCTACTTAGAAACCCAGCTTGCTGGGGGCAGTCAGAACCAATAGCCTCCTGCTCTGCTGAAACCGCAAAAATCCAAGTTTCCAGAAGTAGGAACACCCCTACTTGGAAACCGAAATTCGCTTAAAAACTGGCGCTACATTCATGGCAAGTGTTGGGCACCAGCGAGTAGGATCACCCCCACTAGGGCCCAAAACATATGTCACTAAAGCAATAAGGTCACGCCAAGCAGGATTACCTCCTGCTTGAAACCCAACCTGCTTAAGACAGCAGAGGCCCACATCTCTGTGCTCACTGCCGCCACCCAGCTTGCTTGGGGAAGTCAAAACCAACAGCCCCCAGCTCTGCTGAAATTGCAAAAATCCAGTTTCCAGAAGTAGGATCACCCCTATGTGGAAACTGAAATTCGCTTAAACAATTCAAGCCATATTCATGGCAACAGCTGGGCACCCTCAGGTAGGATCACCCCTACTTGGACGCCGAACCTATGTCGCTAGAGCAAGTAAGGCCACACCAAGTAGGATTACCTCCTGCTTGGAACCCAACCTGCTCAAGACAGCCCTGTGGTCACTGCCTGGCAGGGTCGATGGGCAACCTGGGCTTCTCAAGTAGCGTTGCCTCTACTTGGGAACCCAGCCTGCTTGGGGCAGTCAAAACCAACAGCCTCCAGCTCTGTTGAAATTGCCAAAAAAAACCATGTTTCCAGAAGTAGGATCACCCCTACTTGGAAACTCAAATTCGGTTGAACTTCAAGCCATATTCATGGCAAGTGTTGGGTACCCACCAGTAGGATCACCCCCAATTGGAAGGACCCTATGTCGCTAAAGCAATTAAGGCCACACCAAGTAGGATTGCCTCCTGCTTGGAACTCAACCTGCTTAAGACAGCAAAGGCCCACAACCCTGTAGTCACTGCCTGGCAGTGTCGATGGGGAACCTGTGAGCCTCAAGTAGCGGTGCCTCGACTTGGAGACCTAGCTGGCTTGGGGCAGCCAAAATCAACAGCCTTTAGCTCTGCGGAAATTGCAAGAATCCAGTTGCCAGAAGTAGGATTTCATAGCAGGTGTTGGGCACCCTCAAGTAGGACTACCCCCACTTGGACCCAAAACCTATGCCACTAAAGCAATAAGGCCACACCAAGTAGGGTTACCTCCTGCGTGGAACCCAACCTGCTTAAGACAGCAGAGGCCCACAACCCTCTGGTCACTGCCTGGCCGTGTCGATGGGCAACCTGTGGCCTTCAAGTAGCGTCACCTCTACTTGGAAACCCAGCCTCCTGGAGGGAAGTCAGACCCAACAACCTCCAATTCTGCTGAATTTGCCAAAAAAAACAAGTGCCCAGAAGTAGGATCACCCCTACTTGGTAGCTGAAATTCGCTTAAAAATTCGAGCCAGATTCATGGCAAGTGCTGGGCACCAAAACGTAGGATCGCCCCCACTTGGACCCCAAAACTATGTCACGAAAGCAAGTGCGGCCACACCAAGTAGGATGACCTCCTGCTTGAAACCCAACCTGCTTAAGACAGCGGAGGCCCACAGCCCTGTG